GTTTCTTAACTTTCCTTTCAAAATGGGAAGTGCTAAAAAAGAAGAAATTAATGAAGTAAACAGTACAGGGTACAATATTCACATGATAGAGACGTTATTATGTTGTGGACCACTGCTTGTATTCACTTAAACTTTAATAAAGGAATTTATAAAAAAATATTCCAAATACAAATTCGTCATTAGCTTGTCGGTAAAACACAATCATTCGAGTTTTCCTTTTTCATAAACACAATGATCACATGGTTGTTGAGATTAGGCTTGTGCTAGTTCTGCAATCGAGGAATTCAGTTTTTTTTTTAAGGAGAAAATAATTCACTATGTTAAACTGTATAGAATAAAGTAGACTTTTATAAAGAAAAAGAGTCCTGGGGCAAGGGTAGGGGGGGTTCCTTTCTCATGTGCACTTTTCCATTCATGTAGGGAGGGAATTTGCCCACACCAGCACCCCCCAGGATTCCCCCCATAACTCTCCCCCAACGGAAACACATACTAGATACATCCTGACTCAGAAAGGCAAGTTTCACCCCAGCACTGAGGGCAGCGTAGGCGAGAAACTGCTTCAGGGGTAGGACTGCTTTGACTGTGGTCATCTGCCTTTTGTTTATAACATTTCTGTATGTATTCCTGCAACAGTTGGTCAAACTCAGCTCAAAGAAATTAACACAGGTATGAAAACAATCTCCTTTTTCTCCTTGTGATCTGTGCATGATCAAAATCAGCATGTGACTTCCTTTATTTGTTTTCGACAGATACGTCGACCATCTCTGATGCAGATGATACTGAGTCCTCTTGAATTTTCAGAGGCTTGTTGGCAGTCATGAGGAATGCAGACCCTAGCCTGAAGCCCATTGGCTGCCTGTCCAATAAAACTCTGTTTGTTCAGAATAATGCTTCCGAGTGGTGTTATACTGCACTTGCACATCGAGTCTCTGACTGGTATCTGACTGGTGATAGCAGTCTTGAGTTGTCAAGACTTTCTGGGAGGCAATGTTTACATTAAAATGGAAAAAAGTTCCCCTACATCTCAACGGCCTATCCCAAAATACTGCTAAATGGCTGAAAACAGAAAATGCGGACAGCTTAAATATGTTAGAGACTCGTAGTAATGTGAGTAACCATGAATGCTTGTTATGAAATGTAATGTAATGTCATGTTATGAAATTTATAATAATAATAATATATTTTATTCCAAATTCCAATTTTATTCTTTCAAAGCTCTCAAGGACACCTTACTTCAAAACGATAAGACACACGAATATTACAGATTTGCTGAGACCATCACACATAAGCCAGCCTAAAGATCGAATGACATTATCCACAGACCTGGAGCTGCAGCAAGAGGATTTACGTGGCTGTGGAGGTACAAGAGTGAGGGTAGCTGAGGATCTATGCTTACAGGCAGGTGTGTGATTGGTGATAAGATCCACAAAAAAATCATAAAAGAAAAAGGCGTCTTTAAGCTGTGATGATGAATTTCTCTCTTTTGTAAAAAAAGGAGGGGAATACTCTGATTCATCAGATCTTGGGAATGCATAGAGTGGAAGGAGCTACGGAAATATCCTGAAAATGTAAAGTTTATTTCTGGATGTCGGTCATTCAGTTTGATGCTGTGTTGACAGTTTTGGAAATGGAAAAAAACAAAATTCTACAAATTTCCAAAAATCTATTGATCCTGAACAGAGTCTGGACGTTTGCCTACCTAGGAATCCACAGAAGGACCAAACCTATTAGATATCGCTTCCAGAAAATGCAAACATTTTTAACTTGTTTTTTAAATGAATTATTATTCGACTCACATTTCATCAGCTCTTGCTTTCCCTGGGGTTTGAAACCACGACCTTTGAACTGTAGATCTGACAGCTTAGGGGGGACATGGATAATCCTTTTAACAGAGAGAGCAGAATAGGAAGAGAGTTAAGCTCTGGAGAAAATATAAAGTTGTTTATCACACACTTTTCCTTAAATTTAAACAGGAGGGGGGGTAAAGCAAGGACTATCTTGCTGTTCATTCCAGCATGTACAGGATTATATGCCATGTTTCCCATTTGATCAACTAGGCACTTGTGTTTCTGCACACGCAGTGTTAAATAAGAATTTTAAAACAAAACGAATCAACTGCCACCTGTTGGTTTGGAAGAAACATTACAGCATTTCAGGGGTGTGTGAGTATACATGGGTACATGGCTTGAACTAGATGGGGGACATGAAATGCCACAACCTTCTAGGCAACCTTCTGATTGAAAGCCTATACCAATAACCATTGTGCTGAAGAATAATTATTAAAATTCTAACCAAAAAGCCAGTTATATCTAAACTACGAGTGATTCATGTGCTTACTTTTTGAAATGAATCATCTTGACTTGTATCATCTCATCCAATTGCTATCTTGTAAAAAAAATGTGATAGACACCCTCTGAACTCTCTTATCTTACACCATTGTTGTTGATGTTGGGATACCGTTTTGCAAAATGAGGAAGTAATGCTGTTTGAAATCATGCTTTTTGTGTCATTCCTTCTAATCTTATTTTTTCAACTTACCAGTGTGATGCTACAGAGCTCATGACACTTACACAAACATCATGTGTTACAAGCCCACAGTGGAAATTTAGTGAAGGGCACCAAGTGTTTCAGAGCATAAACTAAACAAGCATCTGGCAACAACCGCAATTCATTTGTGCATTTTGTATTTGAATAAACAATAAAACACTTTTTAGGAATAAAGAATATACAAAACGAAATAATTATCATTTCTATGAGAGAGGATTAACCATTTAACCCCTCAGATCTGTTTTGTTCCTCTATTTACCACTTTGTGGTCTTAGCATATCGTGCAAAAGTTCACCACAGAATGTTCTCACTGGTACAAAGACCTAACTGGCAAATTAGTTTTTTGTGTACAACAACTGTTGCAATTCAATGTAGCAGGATGACCACTAAAATCAGGTTGCACTGATTTAAAACAACTTATCTCAACATATTTAAGTATTAGGGGTTAAACTTGATATCAACCATTGTTTAGTTCTATCCAATCAGAGTCCTAAAACGCATGTTAAATATGTATGGATTTATTTTGACCTCTCCCCAGGAAACTAAAGAGGAACATTTTGGTTGGTTTACTGCAAATGGGTTTTTGCAATGAAGACATGAACCTTGATCGTCTGGCAACCCTCTTGAGATACAGCAATACAGCTGATGCAATCTAGTTTACATCTTACAGTGAGGGACAGAAGTATTTGACCACCTGTTTGACCACCCAGAAGCAAAATATTGCATTTAGCCAGAACCAAACAGAATGATTTCGCCTGAAGCGACTGAATCGACCAAGAGTTTATTGCAAGTTGCACCGCTGTGTGAAATAAACACGTGTGAAACGTGTCAAAGGTAGTTTAAGGTGTGATTAAGTGGAAACAGCACAGGATATGACGTGATAGTTTGCAAAAATATATATAATTTGTCACAAAGATTATCACATGAGGAAGCAAATACATGAATAATCTGCTGACTAATGTGTACATGATATAGATGTGCATGAATATTCAACCTCTACGTTACAATTTTAATAAAAAACAAAAGAATTGGTAGACAGGGTAAAATGTTTCTAGGCATCATCAGTATAGGAAAATTTTTAAATTCTGTTTGCCAGCATATGATCCCTGTTTAACTTGTGCCGATTACAATCTGGATGACAATGTGACTGGTCACAGTGATAAACATGTCATAGAAAACACCAGAAAGGGGGAAGAAAAAGACTTTGTTGGTTCCTTTTTTCTCAAAAATAGAAATAGTTTGGTAAAATGTGTAACACCCCATGTAGGGTCATTGAATTCTGGATTAAGTTCCATTTTACAATTTTGGAATCAGATCAGACGTCCTCCTCGTCTGGTGCAAGCTCATAAGTGACTCTTGTGACCTATGACTCTTGATGTAGATTCCGAATACCATTATCAGCCCCTAGTCCCTGTCTATAATAATCAATGGTGCATTCCCTCAGTAAACATTGGTTTCACTGCAATATTAAGTCCAGGATGGTCCAATTTTTTGAAATTTTTTACAAATCAGTTGAAGTTTTACAATACAAAAGAGGGTTTGCAATGAGGTCTCTTTCCCACTGGGCCATTCCCCTTTCACTTTACCTTTCCAAAACCATTGACTGTTAATAACATGGACAGATAGATAGTCAATGAAGTCAACCATTGGTTTACCCCAAGAGTTTTCCACCTCAAATTGGAAGTTGCTAGCCTTCATCGTGCTTGGAAGTGTTACTTCAGAATATTCAAAAATGGGAAAAGGATGCAGACGGGGTGTTGGTGTAGCAAAAGATACCTGATTGGCTGAAGGTTTCACTCAAGAAACCACGCCCTTTATTTAGCAAAAATGTAAGGCTTAAATAGGTAATACACATGAGCATAAAAATATTTCACCCATTCAATGTTTTCTTGACATTATGGAGACAGGGATAATTTTGTTGCAATGTTGGGATTTGCGACATGGCTGTTTATAGGATCCTGCTCAGCCTCTAGTGGTCAGTCAATGAACTGCAGGATCTGTCACATCCTTTTACACACAAAGAGGGACAGACACACACTGCTTGAGCAAAACAAGCAGTAAAAGGCCCACATTTAATCTGGAAAAGTGCTGAACCATGAGCTTTTCAGTAAAACTCTAAAAACAAGCTAGTAGGTTAACATTTTACAGTACGTGTTTTCCATCCTCTGGCAGGGAGGACCATTTGCATCAATATTTCCTCTGCTATCGAACATTTGTGCAAATCTCAATTCAGGTCAGAGTGTAGAGGCCATAGCTGGCAGACACAAAATGACAATTACAAAAACAATTCTTCGAATTGCAGCAATGGATTTGCTTCTCCTTTCTGTGGATTTCAGCTCACTTTCGATGCTGGGGCATGAGAAGAATTTAGCCACTCACTCCATAACTTCCGGGTACCATGATGTCATTTGCATACCATCTGTAATGGACTAATTTAACCTGGAAACTAGTTTGCACAGTGGCGTAGTGGACAGCACTGCTGCTTCTCAGGAAATAGGTTGCTGGATCGAGACCAGCCGGTGGCCTTTCTGGGTTTTGCATGTTCTCTGGGCACTCCAGTGAAAAAAACTGGATCTGGTAATACTCTATAATAAATACTCTACATTTCACTTAGGAATGAATGTGTGAGTGTTGCCTAGGGTGTACCCCATTACAATCACAAATTAAAAAAAACTTTGCTACAAAAAAACAAAGTTTGCGCAATTTAGAAAAATGCCAAACATGGTAAAAATAATAGAGCGATTTCACAGGTGATTATCCATGAAAATCCACCTAAATGACTAAGTGCAGCAGATAATGTTTCCAGGAAAAACAAACATCTATGATTTATGTGTTGTGTTTGGTGTTTATTGAGGGGAGGGGGTAAAGTCAGAGAAGAGTTCATGTTTTTAGTACGTCACTGTGGTTAAACCTCAGACTTTAAAAGCTTCTGCAAATCCGTTGCTTTTCTAGATGGTGCCAAGCACAACGTGAAAGTGAGTTTGAGAGCTAGAGACAGCAGCGTATCTGCACCACCAGTTCAACTTTCTCTGGCAGTAGAGTGAGTATTGCTTTTAGTATGAAAGCTTTTTTTAGTACATTTCTTTTTGTAGAAACAACAAGGGGAAATCGGCATCATGTTTAAGGATACGCTTTTGCTGTTTATGCAGGAACAAACTTGATCAAAAATGACTGCCACCGAGTTTATGACTGCAATAACTTCAATGACTTCAGAAGATGTAAGTAGTAAATTAAACTGTCCAATAAGCAAAAGCTTGTAAGCAAATGTACAGTAATTTAAATCTGAAAACTAAATTCTCTTTTCCTTTATTTAGTCAGATTACGAAGACTCCTCCACAACAATGGGAGAGTACGAAGAAGGGATCATTTGCGACAAATCAGCTGTGCGACAGTTTCGAAGGTACTACGAGCCTGCGCTCTACTGGATAATTGTGATTCTTGGAGCCATTGGCAACTCTCTGGTGGTCTGTATTTACACGCAATTCAAAAACCGCCTGAAGTCAATGACTGACGTTTATCTCCTGAACCTGGCTCTGGCAGACCTGTTCTTCCTGTGCACTCTTCCCTTCTGGGCTGCGGATTCAATCTATGGCTGGACATTTGGCACGCCCCTCTGCAAAATGGTCTCTGCTATTTACAAAATCAACTTCTTCAGCAGCATGTTTCTTCTCACCTGTATTAGCGTCGACCGCTACATCGTGATTGTCCAAACTACCAAGGCACAGAACTCAAAGAAAGCCCGTCTATGGTACAGTAAACTCATTTGTGTGTTAACATGGGTCCTGGCCACTTTGATGTCCATTCCAGAAGTTATCTTCGCCCGTTCCAAAGAAGACTTTGAGGGGAATCACTTTTGCACCATGGTCTATTGGAACAATGAAAACAATCACACCAAAATACTGGTCTTGGCTCTCCAGATTTCCATGGGCTTCTGCTTCCCTCTCATAGTGATGATCTTTTGCTACACCAACATCATCCGCACTTTGCTTAAGACTAGAAACTTCCAAAAGCACAAGGCCCTACGGGTTATCCTCGCAGTTGTGACTGTGTTTGTTCTCTCTCAACTCCCGTACAATAGCATGCTGATCTTGGAAGCCACACAGGCTGCAAATATGACCATCACAAACTGTGAAGTGGTCCAACAATTTGACATCATTGGCCAAATAATGAAGAGTCTTGCTTACATGCACAGCTGCCTGAACCCATTTCTATACGCCTTTGTCGGGATACGTTTCAGAAAAGACATATGTCGACTTTTCCAAAACCTTAGCTGTCTTCCAACCCTCAAGAACTCAAAGCTGCTAGGAAACCCTCCCCGCTCCTCTGTTATGTCAGATACAGACACCTCCAACGTGCTTTCACTGTGAACAGTGCAACAACAGTATCTTCCAATGTAAAAGCATATGGTTTGCTGCAGGTGTTGGGTGTCTGATTTCCAAAACAGACGTTTGAGGTTCTGTAGGAGGACATGTATGGGTGGAAACATACTGACTGGTGAAGGGTGAACAAACCAAGTCACCACAACAAAACGGTCGCAAGTTTGAATATTGCATAAGTTTCTCTGCTTCAACTGAGCCAATAATGTGAAATACTGAGCGAACCTTGGAGAACTGACAGGGTCGTGACTGGGCGAGTGCAAGGTTTTTATTAGTTTGTTTAACTCTGCAATAAGTGTCAGTTGATGTAAATTCGAGGAGCGTTCTCTGCTTGTCAAGTGCTGGTCGAACCAGAAAGAAATGTGATTGGTTTGTGATTTAACTGCAACTATATCTTCCACCTTTCCTCAGCATTAATAGTTCCAGTTCCATTGTACATACCATATCTCATTTATGAGCACTGGATTATTTCAGAGTTTCAGAATGTGACGCATCATTTTTGTACTTTTGCCTAATTTTAAGTTTTAATGTTTATAAATTATTCATTTGAATTCCATACATTCAGGTTATTGTGTCTGTTTTCACACCAATGTAAAAAATAACAATGCATTTATGTATTTGCTGCTCACTTTGTACACAAAAAATGTATATTAAATTTTAAAAGGAGAGATAAAGCTGACGTAGACTTTCCTTGCTTCACACAAAAGTGCTTCCAACAGTTCTGGTAACAAAAATCAGAAGAGAAATATTGTTTTGCATCCGTATAAAGTTTTATCTGCTTTCCACTAGCATACTTGTATAACTATATAGGTGAGATAAAGTGCCGAGATAATTTTTTTAAAGAATGCCACCAGTGTCTCTGTGGCTTGAACCGTTGAGACTATGACGTACAATGTCTCGTTTACTCACTGTGGGTCTTGTGGGAAGTCACACACATGTGCACACACACTACCAGACATGTGCTGTTCAAAATACGTAAGCAAAATCCACAAACAGCAATCATAATACTATGAATACAAGCAACAAAAAGGCAGAGATATACATCACATAGATTTCTAAACAACATCGGTTCATGAAGATGTTAATTAAAATGTTATCGTTAACGTCTGTGGTGCTTAAACATTGTAAGGTTATAAAATAATGTTTCTACCACGTGTGTTGCAGAGTGCAGTGGGTTTGCGAGGTACAGACAGGGTCAAATAACCACAAAAACAAACACACCTTAACCCTGCCTGCCTGCACTTCTCACGACAGGAAGTGGCAGAGAAGCCAACGTATGTTCTTTCCGTCAAGTGTTTTGTGCCCAAGACTCATGTGACAGACGTGTGGATGTCAGTCAGCTCATCTAAGATTCAATTTCTAGTAAAATATCAAAAATAAGTTTGGCACATTATGGCCTTCAATGATTTACAGCTAATTGAAACATTTGGTAGAACTTATTTATGAATGTTTTACAATGTCTGACTCCCCCTAGTGATGATCATATGGTTGTACATTTACACTTGTATTAGCTTTAATGCATTTAGCAGATGCAAAGTGACCAAGTATTGAACACATTTAGTCAGTTCTTACTTTCCTTGAGGTCTTTGATCCCACTATCTTTATGTGGCAAGCACATTGCTTTACTGACTGAGACACAAGAATGGTAAGAGTTTGCATTAAAACACAGTTAATATGCAGACTAAAGAGGAAGTCGCCTTTAGTAGTGTTCATTTTTAGGATCACTGAGAAACAGATCCCTAGAATATTTATGGTAATTATCTTTAGTGATTGAGTGTGAACAGTGCATCCACTTAAAACAGAGTTCACAATGTATTGTGAAACAAAACGTCACAGTTACATTAAAGAAATCCAAGCTACATAGATGTACAAAAAAATCACAAATTACAAAAAGAGTTTTATATTTTCTAATTTCGAAAACTAAGTCGGGACAATTACCAAACCAAAAGTGTAGCGAATAAACTTTAAGAGGAGTGTTCAAGGAGTCACTGAAGTATGTGTAGCAGAGCAACACAGCCCACTGAGAGCCTTGCCCACTGGTCATTTCATTGTAGTCCCTCATCCCAAGCCTAACAAAGCTCTGATCCTAAACCTAACCACGGTTGACATAGAAGTGGCATCATAATTCAACGTTCAGTGGGTGGAGCTACATATTCAGTTGGTAGGGCTTATCCAATCTATAGACTACAGTCAAGGGTACTTGTCTAAATGGGACAGGGCTCTTTAGGTGCAAGGCTGTTTGCAGAGTTGTCAATTTATTTAATAGCTTTTTAAATATAGTTATTAGTGACAAATCTATCCTTCTCTGAGGTCTATTTGTTGTCTCTCATGAAGTAACAATGTCTGTCTTCTCACAGAACAAGCTCACACGTCACACTCAAACTCAAGTTGCATCCCAATCCGTGCAATATCTTCACTTAAAGGGTCCTAAATTATCTCACTATCTTGTTATCTGTGCTCACTTTTCATGGAGTAGAAAATTTAGATTTTGCTCAAATTGTTTATTTTAATAATAGTGTGACATTAAACATATGTACTTGAGAAAATATAATTTGGAGGAAAGTCAAATTTCATACACATCCTGTGGTCTTCCAAATTAGGTGATGATGTCATCTAGCGACTCTCATCTACTTTAGGCCCAACAAACTTGTTTTACTTAGATGCATTTTTGGTTTGGTGGATTTAGAAAGCTTTTAATGTCACGTGCCTCATCTTCACAGTCGTTAGAACAGCCCCTGAACAGTTTTTTTTTTCTTTACAGTCAAACTCAGAAATTCAGTTTCATAAGCCAATGAGAATACTGTTTGTACCTGTCATGAAATATTTTAAAGCATTTTAGCACACATTGACCAGTGATACCTAAAATCAGCAAAATGGAGAAACAGCCAACACTTCTTTGGGTTTCTCGTTCAATTTAGTAGTCTATAGCAACATGACATAAGAAACACAGATATGTGCTATAAAAGCTATCTTCTTATAATAAAAAATGACATATTTTAAAGATTTTGTATTCCTGCAACCAAAAAAAAAAATAATTTTCAAAGACTTTAACAATTAAGTATGACATTTAAGTTTTTGTTGTTAAAAATAAAACATTTGTTGACTTTTGCGTAGCCAAACGTTAACGATTCATATGGAGCGCCGCGTGG